CGGTCGCGTATCCTATGCCGACCGAAGATCAATCGCCTTCGACGAACGAAATCGACGTCTCTTTCACAACGAGCGTCGGCATCTCGCCCATCGTCGAAATGCGAGTGGTGAAGGAGTGGCGAACCTTGTTCGTGGGCGCGAATAACTCGGCGTTCGTGTTCGATCTCGATCGAACTCTAGAATCCTCGACGGCTACGAAGTTAGACTGGATGCCGGACTCGGTCGACAAGAAGAAGTGCAGATTGAAAGGGAAGGAAGAACACGACTGCCAGAACTACGTGAAAATCGTAACTCCGGATTTAACGAACGGTCGAGTGTTGATTCGCGGAACCAACGCTCAGAAACCGAAGTGCATTCATGCCGAGATGTCGAACTTATGGAGTGGTTGGAGGAGAAGGAACGCGACGGACGGCCTGTACAATTGTCCGTTCGCCGTTGATCAAAAGGTAACTTCCGTCTTCGCGGAGGGTAGCCTGTACGCCGGGACAGTCGCCGATTTTAACGGCAGGGATTCCGCACTGACGAGGTCGATGGGCAACGCCGTTCCTCTCATAACCAAGAGGCACGATTCGTTGTGGCTGAATCACCCGAAATTCGTCGGTTCGTTTGTAGAGGGAAGAGAAGTGTTTTTCTTCTTCCGAGAAGTTTTCGTAGAAAACTGCGAGAAGATTTACCGTTTGCGAATCGCTCGCGTTTGCACCGATGACAAGGGAGGCAGAACGATACTGGACTCCAGCTGGACGACTTTTCTGAAGGCGCGACTCGACTGTTCGTTCCGAGGGGAATTTCCGTTTCGCTTCAACTACCTGCAGGACGTCGTGCGGACCGTCCGCGGAGGAAAGGTCTTCTACTACGCAGTTTTCACGACGGGGGAACACGAAATACCCGCCTCGGCCATCTGCCGTTTCGGCCTCGACGACATAAGGGACAACTTCGAAAGAGGTCCGTTCTTTCGACCGACGGCGCCTTGGGGACGCATCCCGGACGAGGACGTTCCGGACAACAGACCGGGCGATTGTTCGGTCGACTCGACTCTACTCTCGTACGAAGATCTAAACTTCGTGAAATCCCACCCGTCGCTGTACGAACCGGTCGGAAGTGGGGACCCGCTCTTTACGCTCGTTCGACAAAACTACAGGTTGAAGACGTTGACCGTGACTGAGACCGGTAACCGTACGGTCGTTTTCGTCGGAACGGACGACGGTCGAGTCTTGAAATTGGTGATGTCGGAAAAACGGGCCATCCTTCTGTACGTCATGCGCGCGACGGAGCAACCGATCACGAACGCCGGGTTGCACGGGAACTTTTTGTACGTAACCTCTACCGATCGACTTTACGAAATCCCTCTTCAACGGCATTGCCGACTCCTGAACGATAGCACCCGCAAGCAAGATCCGCATTGCAGTTTGATGTCGACGAACGCCGGCGTCGAGTTGGAACCA